ATTGCCTTTCTCTGAGGCTGAGAGTATGTGACTTGTCCAAGTTCATCCGGTGGTTTCATGGCAGAGTGGGGAATCAAAGCCAGGTCTCCAGAGTGGAAGTCCAACACTCAAACCACTACACCATGCTGACTCCTATTCCCATGTACTACCTAAGAAACAATTGCAGACTTTTTTGTTGTTCTTGTGGGTCTTCAAGTCCTTTCTGACTTATGGCAACCTTAAGGCAACCTTATCATGGGGTTCTCTTGGCATGTTTCTTCAAATGGGGGTTGCCATTACCATCCTCTGAGGCTGAGAGTGTGTGACATGCCCAGGGTCACTTACTTGGCTGCAAATTGTACATACCCCAGAATGCATCACCTAATATATTGGCAGTCCTTCCCCCCAACACTTTCTCATTTTCCCCTGTTGGAAGAGGGGTCGTCTTATACGGCGAGTATATCCCAAACTCTATATTTTAACTGGAAAAGTTGGGGGTTGTTTTATACGACCAGTTGTCTTATACACCAGAAAATACGGGGTGTGTGTGTGTATGTATATATATATATATATATATATATATATATATATGAACAAATTTAATACTTTGAGGTAAGTTAAACTACTATAGAAGCTCTACCAAAATAGTTTATGAATTGCTTGACATCTTCCCTTTAAAGGATTCATTTCTTAAAATGAAGATCTAAAAAGCCTCCCCCCCCCACCACTATATTTTCTTTTTGACAAGTAAAGGAAGAAGAGCACTCTCTTCCCGTCCCCCATGCTCTTTCTCTCTTTTAGATGAAAGTGGACAAATAGATTCGCTGCCAGTTCTGTAAGTAAATCCACTCTCGCCTCAAGACATTTTGTAATATGTTGAATTCCCAAGTGAGATTTCTCTTTTCGTTTTCATTTTAAAAAGAAATAGGTCTCCGAGCAATGGAACAAAAGCGTTTGCAATGGGACCAATTCTCAGGTCAGAATGGTGTTCTGTGGGACTCCATTCTAACCAGAAGCCCAACTTTATTAGGTTTACATTTAGTCGAGAGCTCCTAACCCCTTCTTTATCTTGCATAGTGCAAACAGATAAAATGGAAAAACTGAAAGTTTGTGTGACAAGGTTTGATTACACAGAGGTCGATGGAACTACACCTATTTAGAACATTTTAAGAAGAGGATCTGGTCATGTAACAACCTGAAAGCATCTTAACAGTGTTCTTTGGAAAGTGGTTCATACCCCTTCACCTTTTCTTCACCTTTTGCCATGGCTTTTCTGGGGCTGAGAGTGTGTGCATGCATATATATATTTTTATTTTATTTTTAAATTTAATGTTTATTTTTATTTATTTATTCATTTATTTTTGGTGCTTCGCCCCCCCCCCCCCCCCCCAATTGTCTAAGGGAAGCAACCCGGCCCCCGGCTCAAAAAGGTTGCCTATCCCTGACTTAGACTGTCATACTTTGGACACATCATGAGAAGGCATAAATCATTGGAAAATGCAATAATGTTAGGAAAGGTGGAGGGAAGTAGAAAGAGAGGAAGGCCATATGTTAAATGGATGGACTCTATTAAAGAAACTATGAGTTTGCAGGAGCTGGGTAGAGCAGTAGAGGACAGGGGGGCTGGGAGATGTCTCATCCATAGGGTTGCCATGGATCGAGACTGACGCGAAGGCAGTTAACAACAACAACAACAACAACAAAGTCTAAGGTGTTGCCAGTGTTAATCTATAGAGCAGAAATTTGGGGATTTCTTTCATTCAAGAATATGGAAAGAATCCAGAATAAATTTTTAAGACTGATACTGGGAGTGTTAAGAACTTCTCCAACCCAGGCAGTCAGAGCTGAATTGGGTATGGCAGCCATTTCTGACCTATGTCTCCTTAGGCTATTTAATTTCTGGATTAAACCATCCCAAGTGAATGATGACAGATTGCCCAAGATCTGTTTAAACGAACAAGCACTTAAGCCTACAAGTTACTCCTGGCTTTCCAATTTTTCAAAAATACTTTTAAAGCAGGGCTTGAACATTGAGGCTGCTCATTTGTGCAAGTCCAATACCAGAATCATGTTTAAACAAAGAGTGATGGACATTAGAGTGCAATTAGATCTAGCTACGCTGTCTTCCATAAGATCTCTGAAATGGTTAGCAAGGGCCAAACAGAAGAAAGATATTTGTATTTTGCAATGAAAAGGGACTTGCGCACGGCCTTTGTACAGCTCCGGTTTGAGCAAACGGAAACTAGGATGTTGCAAGGGCATTATCAGGATATTCCTGTACAAGATAGAATCTGCATATGTGGGGCTTCTGCCATTGAAGATCTTGCCCACTACTTATTGCACTGTCAGCTTTATGCTAACATCAAAGACCACTGCTTCAATCCAAGCCAACACTGTTGCCAACACTGGCTTAGAACAAAGAGAGATACAGTGAGACTGTCTTCTCAATCAGAAACCATGTGCAGTTAAGCCTTTGAATGAACAACAATGTTAAATAATGCCAGATTCTAAACTAATATAAAACAAGTCTTTTGAAAATCTTACCATTGCAGATGAAAGCAAAGCAGCTTCATTTATATACCGCTTCATATCACGCTATGGGATGTCTAAGCGGTTTACAACTGTGAGCTGATTGCCCCCCAACAAGCTGGGTACTCATTTTAGCGACCTCGGAAGGATGCAGGCCTGAGTCGAGCCTCAGCCCTGGCTAGTATTGAACTCACAACCTTGTGGTCTATGAGTGAGTGGCTGCAGTACAGGCATTTAACCACTGCGCCACCAGGGCTGGTTACTGGCTGGTTAATGAATGGAGAGCCAATGTGGTGTAATGGTTGCAGCATTAAACTAGGTCATTGGGAGACCAGGGTTTGATTCCCAGCTTGGCCACAAAACCTACTGTGTGACCTTGAGCAAGTCACACTCCCTCAGCCTCTAAGGATGGCAATGGCAAACCACCTCTGAACAAATCTTGCCAAGAAAACCCCATGATAGGGCTTGCCTTAGGGTTGTCGTAAGTCCAAAATGACTTGAAGGCACACAACAACAAATGCTGATCAGATGATGCCATTTTTCATCAAGACAGAAGGATCCATGGGACTAATAGCATACATTTTGTACATCCTTACAATAAGCACTGGATAGTCTAGTACTGACCACATTCCACGTTTCCTCTCCCCACCATCATCTGTAAAATGGAAGTGATTGTGGTTACATTACTTGACACATTAACTAGCGGTTATGGACTGTAAAAAAATATGTTTCCTCAATCTATTAAAAACAAGTTACAGCAAAGAAATGATCAACATGTTGAAACAATTAAATTATAAAGATTTTTGCATCAGATATATGTCATTCTGTTTATAAAGTACAATTGGATGGAAGAGACACCCATTAGAATAACAGCTCTCAAATGGAGGAGGCAATAGAAGAATGAGTGACCTTTGGTGACTTCCCTCGAGAGAGCAGTGTCCAAGAACAGATCATGATCTATGTGGTCAGGAGCTCTTTGTATCCAGAAAACTTCATTTTGCAGGAGCCATGATTTGATTTAGAGTTCTGAGAACAGCATGCAATTATCCCAACATTCAGAGCAAGCAAGGAAACAGGCAGGCTGGCCAGCACTGGAGAAAATACGCGGGGTAGGAGAGAAAGACCAGATTGCTAGACTCTATCAAATACCCTAAACAGAAAAGCAAGGGAAACCACAAACATATGTTTTTCATAAATGGCTTTAAATGATGGCACAGTATTGGAGGGAGTACTCCTTTTGTATGTGAGCAGTCTAGAACTACCGTATTTTCCGGCATATAAGAGAACTGGGCATATAAGACGACCCCTCTTCCAACGCACACCAACTAAAAATTAAAAAAAAAACCCATCAGATTTGATTTCAATATGGTAATTTTAATTCAAATGCTTATGACATGCAGGTGCTTAGCAGGAAAATTGTCACTAATAAACACAACAAACTACAGCTCCCATGTTCCCTAGCATTTATTTTTGCAGTGTGTTTTGGACCTTACTTTTTAAAAAATAGTCCAGATTTAAATGCTGCTTTAAAATTTATTTCCATCTCCTAGCTATGAGATGGTTGGGGTGAAATGAGAAAGTGTTGTGGGGAAGGACTGCCAATATATTAGGTGATGCATTCTGGGGTATGTACAATTTGTGGCCAAGTAAGTGACCCTGGGCATGCCACACACTCTCAGCCTCAGAGCATGGTAATGGCAACCCCCATTTGAAGAAACGTGCCAAGAAAAACCCATGATAAGGTTGCCTTAGGGTCACCATAAGTCAGAAAGGACTTGAAGACCCACAAGAACAACATAAAAGTCTGCAATTGTTTCATAGATAGTAAGTGGGAATAGGAGCCAGCATGGTGTAGTGGTTTGAGTGTTGGACTACCACTCTGGAGACCTGGGTTTGATTCCCCACTCTGCCATGAAACCCTCTGGATGAACTTGGACAAGTCACACACTCTCAGCCTCAGGGGAAGGCAATGGCAAACCTCCTCTGAACCAGTCTTGCCAAGAAAACTCCAGGAGAGGATCGCCTTAGGGTTCCTCTCGTCCTCGTCTTCTCCCAAGGTTTCTTCCTGCCCCCACCCCTGTCCTCCTTGTCCTCTTCTTTTCCCAAGGCTTCTTCCCGCCCCCACCTCTGTCCTCCTCCTCCTTATACTCGGCGTATAAGATTACCCCCGACTTTAACCCAGATTTTCCTGGGTTAAAAAGTCATCTTATATGCTGGAAAATACAGTACTCATTTCATGAACGATGTGATACTCTCCTGCTTTGTTTCCTCAATGTTGAGGAGTGATTTTACCATGCTATTAATTTACCTCTAACCATCTATTGGTGGGTGGGGAAACACACAGTGGCATG